AAATTTTTAATTAAGAAATATAAAACGGCGCGCATGTCTCTGTCCTCTGATATAAACACGGTGGGAGTTCGAAAAATATGAGAAGCAATCTTAGGAACACGAGCGTAGCGAGTGTTTCTCTTGCTTCTCGAGTGTTTTTCAACTCCCACCGCGTTTATATCAGAGGACAGAGCGAAAAGAAAATATCTTTTCGAGCGAAAAGAAAATTTTGCAGGTAAGCCGTGTCTCTCTCCTCTTATATAAACATGGTTGTCAGCCAATCAAAGTTGCGTTATATATCAAAAATTTTATAATAAAAATTCAGGTGCAGCTTTGATTGAGTATATACAATGTTGTATGGGAGCACACAGGAAGATCAACAATACAGGCTTTAAAAGAGAGTTTTTGAGAATGTTATTTTACAGACAAGGAATTTTTCATTCAAAATATACACCATTCAGTTTCTGGAGATAGTGTAATATTTCACTTTAGACTTCAATTAAATTATGTTTGACTTCCTTTGGGAAATATCTATAAACATTAAAAGTGGTTGGAAGTGGATGGTTTGAATTAATAGAACATTTGGAAAACAATCCTGTTATTTTAAAAGGATGCTGTAGGGAATGACACTTGGCAGTTATCAAGTGGAAACTACATGACTGATAGGAAGTGTTTCAAACTGCATTGAGATTTTGATTGGGCAATTTTAAATTATATKAAGAATTGATTATTAGTGAGTATTTCCTTGACAAAGCTGTAACAGTCACTAAGGAAGCTCCTTTTTGATGTGTAATTGCTGATTAACAATAATAACATTGCCAGTCAACATTTTCTTCAGCTTCTTTTTTTACCAATTTAGTATTATTTACGTAGAGAATCCAAGTTTTTATTGATTGGGTAATCTAACTGTATTATGGCTCACATTGCAGATAATTTCACTGATCAAGCTATTAGCAGTCGTGGCTTGAATGGGCAACTTGGTAATGATCGTCAACTGCAGGTAGAATATGTGATATGATAAAAGTATAATAGGATTAATTTATGTTTATATTTGATATATTTTTATGGGATAGGGTGAAATAGATAACTAGAGCGATTTTCATCGGACTGTGAAGTAGTTCCTATGCTAATTTCCTCTACACACATTGTTTTCTTTTATTGGAATACAACTATTAGACACTATTAAACACTGCTTCAAAGTCCGATAAAAAGCACTAACAAAAAATTACTAAATTACCAAAATTCCTTTGTTTTTATTTTTCAACACTATTTAGAAAATTCTATTTTTATTTTATTTTCACTCCGACTCATTTTCATTATTATTTTCTGTATACAGTAGTTTTAAACTTGTTATAGGAGGTTAAATGCAATAGTAATTTGCTTGATGAGTGTGAGCACTTTGTGCTTACTCGAAACCATCCTAGTTGCAGTAAATCAGTGCAAAAACTTGAAAATTGTAGGAATAAGTAATAGTAATAGTAAGGTGAAGTACCCTTACTATAAGTCTAAAACGTACAMAATAAACGGTAAATTCAGTGAAAACTAGTTTCGTTCAAAAACCTCTTCAGTTCACTAATGAAAKTTCGTTAATACATTCACGAATAAAAACAAAAAAACTTGAAAATTCTCTTAGAACTAAATTTAGTATTGTACAATATATTGTACATACATTCAATATGTTGTTTTATTCATATGATATTTTGTGGGATATTTAATGTATATGATATTTAATATTATTTTTTGTTATTGTTTTGCTAATTAGAAATGGGAAGATCCCTCTGTTGWACCTGATGAATCTCTGACTCTTGATGAACAAAATGTGGTAAGAATGATTTTATGTTTTATAGCTACAATTGTAGTATAATAATAACACAAGAAATGTGTACCTTTATAGTTGCATAGCAATTTGATTCCTTTGGTGTTTTAGTCAGATTTCAATCTATTATGTGTTTTATTTGTCAAATGAACTAATGTTTTTTACAATTTTGAACATTTTTTTTTTAGTCATCCAAAATTTCATCTAGATAAAACAACACTGGATTTAAATTTGAATTCTTGGATTATGCTCAGAATAGTTCCTTTTGACTAAAATAAGAATATATTTAGTTTTAAAGATTAGTCTTTTTCCATGATTTTTGCTACTAGAAATAGTATGGCATAGTAGTTTGTGCTACTTCTAGGTTTTTGCATGTTAAGTAAAAATTTGTAAAAACTGAAAAAAATTGAGAGTCCTCTATCACACATGGTCTTCCCAAGAGAAAAATTGGCGTCAACCAATCAGAGAAACTTATTATACCGACAAAAGTCTGCTTCCAATCCATTTCTAGGGTCAAAATAGTATACAATTTCTTACAAGGCTTTGGAGAATCATAATCTCAAACATTTTTGAAAAAAAATTATATTACTAGAAAAAAATCTAAAAWAGTGAAGTTTTGGAGAACAAGGAGTAGTACAGATCACATCCTCTCTATTTCTGGAGGCTCTGCCATAAAAATGTCACTTCTATTTATTTGTTTAGAGTTTTGAAACTCTCACTATGTGCTCTTCAAATTGCCATTATCCATCATCTTGTAATACTTCAGGGCACTTCAAGTTCTTGATTTAAATTCTCACTCATTCYCAAATCTGTTTTGTATCATTCCAATATTTCTCTTACTCCAAATGAGAAGTGATAAGGAGAACTGTATTGTCTACCACTTAACACAATATAACCTGAGCTGATCACCTGTTTCTCATAAAAAAAAGACCCTAAAAGGACTTCCAAATGTCTATTTGTAAATAACTTGACTTAATAAAAGTAAGTGTTCATTCACACTTTTTAAATATGGCGATAAACTTTTGTGTGGAACTAAGTTATTCCTATAAACAACACTGTGAATTTTGTGTTTTTGTGTTTTTGAGATACCTGTAGGTTTTGTCTTTTAACTTGGAGTAATCTAAGACACTTATTTATACATTGTATCAATGAACTTGAATGTGAATTTGCCACCAGTAAGGCTTTGTTTTACATTGACCAATAGCTTCTATTCATTCACTGGGCTTGCTATTCTCTATATGTGTCTAAATCTGAGGCTATGAAAACACAACATAACATTGGTAGAATAATTAGCAAGATTTCAAAGGCTGTTTGAGACAGTTTACTGTGGCAAAAGGGTAAAAGAAAYCAGAAAGTAACACAAAAGAAACATTGCAACAAAATGGGTAATAGCCATGAAAGCAGTTAGCCATGGGTCAGAAACTAGCACAGTTTGTTACTTCGCAAGTTGAAGTCCAAATGAAAGTAGAGGTTGGTTATGTCTTACTTTACCCTGCAGGGATCAGTCTACTGATATTTGGGATTTTAATATTTTTGATATGTGATTCTGGTTAAAAGAGAATTCTAAATTGTGTTAGCTAAGACTGTAGAAAAAAAATYTGAATTAAAAGTAGTTCCAGTGAGATTCTTGATTATAGTACCATTCCTGTAATCAAATGTTTTGTATTTGGATTCAGCAAAAAAAGAAATAATAGTTTGAACCAATACATCTGTGAAACTTAAATAGTACAAAATAGTACTAAATTATGGTAATCCCTTTGTTTCCTATTGTCTTATCGACAATATTTTGCCATAGTTAGCATGTATTGCTCTTCTGTTCAAGGTCAAAATGTACATAATAATTGTATCTAATATTCTGATAAGCTAGAATTTTGTACAGATGTAAAATGTTTATGGAATGAATGTACAATTTCAAATTCAAATGTAAAATTTTAATGTACTTGTAGGTAACTATATTAYYGCATCAAACTGAACTTGAAATCTGTTTGAAGTTTATGTTATTTAGTGGAAYTCTACTTTTAATAACAATTAGAGAGTTATTAGTCCTATGCAAAAATGCTCAGAATGTAGAAGTTCAATTGYGTTCGATTGCCCAATGAACAAACAAACTTGTCTGAATACTAAAGGTCTTCTGACTTGTCTTAAGTTGCCTTTCATGAATTGTTGGAGTCCWGMAAAAAACTTAGTAGTCAATTAATTATAATCTGCAAATTTAAAGCYAATACTATTTCAATGTTGTGGGATGTAAAATTATTTGGTCTTTTTAACATTTGACAACCAATATGAGTGSAATTTTAGSTTTTTRAAATCACCAGTACACTCCCAAGGTCAATAAATATTCTTTAATACTTGTTTTAACATTTTTTTTAATTGAGAAGTCCTAATCTCTTTATTCTTACTGTATTCTTACTGTAGAATGGTCTTGATCCAAATGAGATGTTTCTTGCCAATGAGAAATTTGGTGTAAAATCTACATTTGATGAAGATATGCTGTCATACACGTAAGTATATTGATAAATATATTTATTTTAATACATGATTTATTGAAAAAGGCTAAGACAAATAACTTTAGACTTTGGAGGTTCATTTTAAGGCTTAAAAGGTTGACTTATACATCATACAGATACAGTAATAAATATATTAACATAAATATTTCATAATATTTATAATATAAGGTGTTTTTTTCCTAGCACACCTATTGAAGGATCCAAGGAACTGGAATACAAAGCAGAAAGACTTGCAAGGGAGATTGAAGAGGTAAGGAGTATTATCCTGAGTTTATTCGACAAGGGAAATAGTCCCTCCATATAAAGTATATGTATTAAAATTTTTTATTGGTATCATGATTTTAGGAAAATAACTACAGAGATAATTCTGAATTAGACAGTGGTAAAACAGAAGAAGAATTATTCTCTGCTGTTGTCCGGAATTCTCCTTCAATAGAMCATTCTCAGGCTGGTAAAGKCAAGCACRGTTCCCCAGCTAGAGATGACAGCAAGCATGACRCATCAGTAGATTCCCCTAAGAGTGTTTCACCTAAACCACAGAGGGTTCAACAAAGTATGTTATGATAATAGTTCTTTAGCAAACCATAAAATACAATAATGAAAATCATACTTTTTATTGCCCTGTGTGCACTCTTTTCCAAAAACTATGGAAACTCTTGTCAATGGTAGACAAGATGGGATAATATTTGTATAAACMTTKCTGTTCTCTKTTCCTTTAATGACCTCAAGCTTTTAGAAACCAGCTTTTACTGACCATTTYCTGTGTCTTTGAGTGCATARGTTTTACTATTTATGTGAAAGAAAAGTCCATGGTCTTTTTGTGTTATTTTTTAGGAGAACCAGCCATACCTGATGTCATCAACAAGCCAATTACAGTCACTCCTGTTGAACAGGTAAGAAYGCAATATAGCTTGATGTCCCGGTACCAACATTTACTTACAAGCTCATACTTTATTTTTTATTGAGCAAGCACTATAACATGTGGTACAAAAAAATGATATTTTTGGTAGCTTATACGTGACAAAATGTTTTCAAATTTTAGAAATGTCATAATGTGCTTGAAGCAATGTMTTCGAATTGAACTTGATGGGGTTTCAAAGTCCTTGCCATTAGACAAAAGCATTTTACAACAGAAAAATTGCATTTCTGGCTGCCATTAAGCACACAATCCATGCAGAAGAGAATTAGTTTATTGAATCAYTCAATATTGATATATAAAAGCCGATAATGTTCATTTTAAAGGTGAAGAAAGATGGAACAACAGCTAGTAACCAGGTAACCCTGTCTACAACCAACAAGGTCCAACCTCATGTTGTAGGCGGAGAAAAATCTGGTATAAACATCATTGGCATCAAAGAATCCTCACCATCTAGTACTCAAAATAAACCTAAATCCACTCCTGAGGATAGCAGCAAAGTGAAAGATGGTAAAAGATT